CACCTTGCTTGCACTGGGATCCCATATAAGCACCAATTCTAATCCCAGCATCCCCACTTCCCATCCTGTGGCCTGGGAAGGCAGTGGAGGACAGCCCAAAGCCTTGGAACCCTGCACCCGTGTGGAAGACCCAGATGAGACTCCTAGCTCCTGGCTTGGGTTCAGCTCAACTCCAGCCGTGCAGCCACTTTGGGAGTGAATCAGCTGACAGAAGATCTTTCTCTCTGTCTCTCCTCCTCTCTGTATATTTGGTTTTCAAAAAAAAAAAATGAATGCAGATTTTTGTATGTTATTAAAGTCAGTATTGATTCAAATTAGATTACTCTAACTGTTGAACGTTAAAAGCAATTCCCAGTAACCACCAAGAATATATCTAGGGCCTGTCATGATAGTCTAGCAGCTAAAGTCCTCACCTTGAATGCGCCAGATCCCATATTGGTGCTGGTTTTAATCCTGGCAGCCCCGCTTCCCATCCAGCTCCCTGCCTGTGGCCTGGGAAAGTAGTTGAGTACAGCCCAATGCTTTAGGACCCTGCACCTGGGCAGGAGACCCAGAAGAAGCTCCCAGCTCCTGGCTCCTGGCTTAGGATTGGCTCAGCTGCAGCTGTTGTGGCAGCTTGGGGAGTGAATTAACAGATGGAAGATCTTCCTCTCTGTCTGTCCTCCTCTCTGGATATCTGACTTTCCAATAAAAAATAAATCTTTTTAAAATACATCTAAAAGGAAAGAAAGCACAAATCCATTTTACCTTACCCCTATTACAATCACTAACATCTAAGGGAGGTGGGGGGGGGGAGGGGAGTGGGCAGCATGGTGGCAAAGCAGGTTAATCCTCTGCCAGTGGCACCAGCAGCCCATGTGAGCACCAGTTCATGTCCTGGCTACTACACTTCTAATCCAGGCCCTTTGCTTGTTTTCTAGCTCCTTGTTTTTATGGTCTAGCAAAGCAGGAGAGAATGGCTCAATCTTTAGCCCACTGCACCCATGTTTAAGACTTGGTGGAAGCCCCTGGCTCTTGGCTTCAGAAAGGTGCATAACCAGTCATTGTGGCCCTTTGGAAAGAGAACCAGGGGATGGAAGACTATTCTTTCATTCCTATGCTCCCACATGGATGTGGAGAGAAAGATCTCTAATCCACTGCCGGTGGGATGCAAACCAGTGCAACCATCACAGAGGAGAGCATGGCGAGCCCTACGATATCTGAAATAAATGTTCCATGTGACCCCGCCATCCCCTTCTGGGAATGTATCCAAATGAAATGAAATCAACATGAGAAAGCTATCTCTATCCCATGTTTACAGCATTTCAGTTCACAATCCACCAATGAACAACTAGAAAAAGAAAATGTGGTACATATACATTGTGGAACACTATTCAGCCATAAACAAGAATGAAGCCTTGTCTTTTGCAACTAAATGGATGCACCTGGCAACTATTATGCTTGGTGAAATGAGTCAATCCCTAAAAGACAAATATCATGCTTTCCCTAATCCCTGGTAACTAATTCACTGAGTGCAAAAAATGAAAATAAAGCTACAAGAGTGGCACTCTGGAATTTGATAAAATGTACAGCCTTTTTTTGTGAAATGAATAAACATTTTTTAGCTTACATATGTTTATTTTTTCATGTCTTATTTGTTTCTCTGTTCTCCATTTTTATTACTACTTCCTACCTGCCATTTGTGGAGACAGCCACCTAATGAAGTGTTAACATGTAAAGACAAATTTATGTAGAAAAGAAATCTGAAGCAAAAACTGACAAAATTTGAGATAAATAAAACAGGGGTTGGTATTGTAGAATGGCAGGGAAAAGCTGCCACCTATGGTGCCAGGATCGTATATGGACATGACTCAAGCCCTAGCTATTCCACTTTATATGTAGCTCCCTGCTAATTCAGCTGGGAAAGCAATGGAAGATGGCCCAAGTGCTTGGGAACCTGCAATGTCATGGGAGACACACAAAAAAACTCGTGGCTCCGACCCACCCCAGCACTGGCCTTTGGGGCCATTTTGGGAGTAAGATCTCTCTGTCTCTGCCCCTTCTCTCTGTAGCTCTATCTTTGAAATAAATAAATCTTTTAAAAAGTACAGTAATAGCTGCAGCCTACAATGGCCTATTTTAGACAACAGCTAAGCTAACCAGATAGAAGGTAAGAAAATGGAGAAACATTACAATATAAACCAACTAGATCCACCAGACATCAACAGAGTACTCCCCCCATCAACATGGAATAAACACACTTCTCAAGTACATAGGGGGCAGTCACCAGGACAGACCATGCAGACCACAAAACAAATCTCAATGCCTTTAACCAGAGGTCAAGACAGATAACAGCACAAGCAGCTTCCATTTTCAATTAGAAATCAGTAAAAAGGAAAACTGAAAAACGCACAAATACAGAAACTAATACACTCTTAAGACACCCATGGGCCTGAAAAGAAACAAAACAGAAAACAGGAAAATTGAAAACTGTGTGAGAATAATCCAACATGTGAAAACTCACAGGCTGTAGTGGTCAGGGGAAAATTTGTAGTTGTAAATAATGGCAATGAAAGATGAAAGATCTCAAATTACGCATTTGAGAGATCAGATTATGGACCTGAAGAGCTAGAAAAAGGGCACACTAATCCTAACACTAACAGAAGACACGGAATATATACTAAAAATGAACAAAACAGAAAACACTGATTTCTTTTTGGTAGACTGAGAAGTGAGGAACACATGCAAACAACCAAGATCAAAAATGAAAGTGATGTTACAATCAACAACAGAGATAAGAGACTAAGAAGAGCAGCTATATGCCAATGCAACAGATAAAGTAGAAAAAGAGGACAAAGTCCTTGAAACCTAAGTTACCTAAATGATTGAAAAGGAAATAGAAAACCCCCCAAAAGATTTACACCAAGCTAAGAGACTAAGGAAGCAATGAAAAGTAACAAAGCAAAGTCCTGAGTTACAAGACTTCGCCAAGGAATTCAACTTTCAAGGAAAAATTAACACTCCTTTTAGCAGGAGAAATTGAAACTGACTGCATTTTATAAAGGCCAGCAGAAATGTATAAAAAGGAACTTATAGACCCATAAACCTTATCGACATAGATGCAAAAATCCTCCAGATAGGTGCAAGTCAAAGTCCAGCAGTGTGTTAAAAGATGTATTCACCAGGACCAAGTGCCAGTCATCCCAAGAGCGGGGAAGTTCAACAGAAAATCAATGAGTGCAATACATCCCATTAACACCGCAAAACGGGGGCGATCTCATCATTCCTCTTGATGCAGAAAAAGCACTTGACAGAATCCCAACAGCCTCTCATGATAACAGCTCTCAGAAAACTTAGAGAATTCTTACACGTGATAAAACATCCACAAAAACCCCCAGCATATTCGATGGAGTAAGATCAATGATTTCCCTCCCGAAAGCAGGAATGAGACCAGGATGTTCACTTTCTGTGCTGCTGTTCAACACAGTGGTGTTAACCTCTAGCCAGTTATCACGCCAATGACATAAAAGCATCCAAGTCGGAAAGGAAGACGGAAACAATTTCAGCTCACAGATGACAGCATCCTGTATGCAGGAAATTCCAAAGAACTCACAAGACAGCTCCATTCCAGCTAATAAATTCAGCAAAGTTACAGGACCAAGACTGATATTAAAAAAAAAAAAAAGTCAGTTGCTCAACACACAGGCAATAAACAACACAAAAAGGCAATTAAGGAAGCCATCCCATTTAAAGTTTTATCAAAATATATAGGCTGAAAACTAGACAACATCGCTAGAAATGTTACCAAAGACTTAATGAATAGAAACGCATGTGCTAAGCATGGACAAGAGGACTTAAAAATTGTGAATAGATCAACACTAGACAAAGCAACCTACAGATCCAACACATTCCAAAAGCTTTTTTGGAAGAAACAGGAAAAAAGGGGCAATTCTCAGATGCATGAGGAGTTGCAAAAATGCCTCCAATGTTTTAACAAAATCTTTTAAAAGAACTGAACTAAAGGACTCAGAGTTTGCTTCAAAACATACTACAAGACTATAGGAATTAAACCAACAGCGCGCTACCTTGAGACAAGATACTAAAAACTAAAGTCTGAAATTTTAACTCACATTAAGTAGTCGGTTGATTTGCAACAAGAGAATTCCACGAACATTCAAGGTGTTCGGAAAAGTACACACACACAATCGTGCAGGTGCGAATGCCACGGGGCTTCACACTCACACCTAACCAGCCTTTAGTCCTAGCACCACGGGTGTCCATGAAAGGGCTCTGCGTTCTGCCAATGCAAGAAATGGCAAGAAACCAGATAAGTCCTGGGGTGAGAAGGCAAGCGGAAAGGATGCAGAACGCAGCTAAGGGATGAAGATGTGAAGGTTGCGGTTCACCAACACAGGGAGCCCGGAAGAGCAGAGCTGGAGCCCCACTTGTCCCCGTGGGACAGCCCAGGCAGCTGGCTGCTCAGCACAGGGTGTCTGGGCCGGCAGCCAGCACGCTCTAAGTCAGGAAACCACGGCGGGTGCCAGAGATCGGCGTGAGGAGGAGGGAGCCCGAGGCACGAGCCGTGAGGAAACACCGACAAGCCCCGAACGTGGGAGACTCCAGCGCTCTCCACCAGCCGAGTCCGCAGCCCTAGGCGGGAGGGACTTACCCGGGCGCCCTTCAGGCCCACGCTAGGCCCCGGACAGACGAGGCCCAGCAGGGGAGCAGCAGCTGAGGAAAGGGTCTGAGGCAGAGCGTCATGGCCACGGACGCCCACCAGACCGCCGCACTTTCGTGCTGACCACAGACAGCCCGCAAGCCCCAAGTGCCCGGAGAAGCTCGGCCCGCGCGCCCCGCCCACCGGACGGAAAAGTCCCTCTCGGGGCCCCGTCGTCCTCCGAGCCCTCCGATTGGCGAAGAGGACCCTGGGACCTGGAAGTTGTCTTTGTCCGGCCAGGGCTGCCCTTCCGGTTCCGTTGGGTCCCCCCCTTTGGCTCAGGTTCCCTCCCCTCCCCCTTCCCGGAGCCCCGAGGGGCCGGAGCTCCTGGCGGTGCCAGATCTTGACGGCGGCCTTCCCCCACCCCTTTCCAGGGTCTGTAAGTTCGGAGGCGGCCGGAGCGCCGGGCTGGGGTGCGGGGAGTCTCTTAACAGGGAGCCCCCTTTTAGGGATGGGGGGGAAGGCCCTGGATCTGTTGGGACCTGCAGTGGGATGTGGGGGGCCCTAGAGGCTGGCCTAGGCCCCCCGGGACTTGAGGAGTCCCTGGCCCGGCCCACATTGTGCCCCGCCCCTTTCTCTTCCTGCCTTCTGGAATGAGGGATACTGAGGATGCCCAGAGGAGGTGGGGGCCACTTGCTGGGACCTGGCTTCCCTCTCCTCCCTCTCCCAAATCTGGGGCTCAGCCTTTAGTTTGGACACCAGACTCTGGCATCTTGTAGGAAGTGCCAGAGCTGAGGCTTTGAGAAAATACACCTAGGGAGCCAAGGCCGTTAGAGCTAGCCTGCCAGGATGCCTGGCAAAGCTAAGTTAACTCTTTCACTGGGGTGACTACCAATTCAGTGCTGACCCTAGTGCCTTTTCTGTTACTGGCATTAGATACGGAGTAGGATTTTTTTTTTTTTTTTTTTTTTTTGGTAAGGTAATGGCACTGTGGTCAGGGTCAAGTTGACGGACCATATTAGAAGCCCTTATGTGCCCTTGCCATCTATATATATTAAGACATTTATCTATGTATGGTCATGCCTACGTGAACTGTTCAAGTGGGCATTTGCTGGGAGGACAAAGTGTGGCTGAACTTTCCAGGCAGAAGGAATAGATGCAATGCAATGGTGCAATAAAGTGGGTGGAAGAGAAATTGGGGAGGGAAAAAGTGGGGTCCTGTGCATAGGACGGGATGTCAGATCGTGCAGCTAGACTGAAGGCCAAGCAGTGGCGGGATTTAATCCTGAAGGAGACTGGTAGATATTTGGGAAAGTTTGGAACAGGAGATGAATAGCATAGTCAGGTTTGCACTGCAGAAAATCATTTTGTTCTATAGGAATCCTATAAAAAATAAACTTATATTAACCAAATGTGGTTTCTAGCCAAAGACCAGGTACTCTTGTTTTTCAAGATTTATTCATTTGTTTTGAAAGTCAAAGTTACAGAGAGAGAGAGATTGTTCATTTTGTTGCTTTACTACCCACGTGGCTTCCAGGGCCAGTGTTGGGCCAGCCAAAAGCCAGGAGCCAGGGAACTTTCCGGATCTCTTAAGTGAATAACAGGGGCCCAAACACTTGGGCCATTTTGCTCTGTTTTTCCCAGACCATTATCACAGGGAGCTGGATCAGAAGTGGAACAAACAGCTGGGACACTAATTGGTTGCCAGTTTTAGATGCCTTCATGACAGGCGGCAACTCTACCTACTAGGCGACCTTGGGGCCCCAGGGCTTGGCACTCTGATAGATTATTTTGAAGAGATAGGATGAGACTAGTGCGAGGTAATGAAGTGTTAATGTTGAGTGATGACCACGTTCCTAGAGAGGAAGGAAGAATTGTTGGCTTGAGCTGATGTCAACACTACCTCATTAATTGTATGTTAAGGTAGAAAAATGTATCCCAGCTCATTCTTGAATTGTGGCATATGACGAATGGTGATGGCATTATCAAAAATTAAACCTGAAGGTTATTGTAAAATCATTTTGGGGAAGAGGGGGACATGTTGAGTTAAAGTCTAATGAGATAGCCAGATAGAACCATCCAGCGTAGGGTTGGAAATGCAAAACTGGAGGTGAATCTAAACATGTGGCTAGAGGTAATGATTTGTGTTATTAGCATACAGGTGGAAGCCATGATATCCGAATAGCTGGCATTAAAAAGTGAGTACAGAGAAGCAAATTGGTGGGTAATGGTTGCACTTATTTAACATAAGAGCAGTTGGAACTAGTACTAGTATAGTAGCAGAACCAGAGATAGAAAATAAAACGTAAGAATGTGGGCTCCAGCAATTATGAGAAAAAGAATTTTGAAGAGTACATTAATTAGATCAATTTGTGCCTAGCATCGGGGAAATGAAAAAGTAAGTTTGTGTTTATTAAGGGATAAGGGGTGTTTTCATTTGTTTTTAATGTGAGAGGGAGAAGCAGGTGCTCCCATTTTCTCATTTACTTCCCAAATGTGGGTAATGGCCAGGGTGAGACCAGCCTGAACCTAGGAGCGGGGACTTAATCCAGGTCTCTGTATGGGTGGTAGGAACCAAGTTACTTAAGCCATTACTTTTACCTCCTCCCTAGATCCACATTAGCAGGAAGTTAGTGTTGGTCAAACCCAAGTATTCTGCATACATGCAGGCATCTTAATTGCTAAGCTTCTCACAGCTCCTATTCATGATCTTGGAAAATGTAAAGCAAATATATTTTGGAAACTTCAGCTTTTTTTATTTAAAATGAGAATGAGAAAAGGACACAAATGAAAGATTTCACATAGAAAATTGATAGGTATTATCTTTATCTGACACATGTTTATAGATCATATAGTAGATACTTTTGTAATTTAAAACTTTATACTCATTTATTTTTCATAACAATCCTATGAAGTACTGTATTTTGTATAAAAATCATTTTTTAAAAGATTTATTTATTTTTATTGGAAAGGCAGATTTACAGAGAAAAGGAGAGATATATATTCCATCTGCTGATTCACTTCCAAAATTGCCACAACAGCCCACAGCTGAGCCAGTCCAAAGCCATGAGCCAGAAGTGCTACAGGTGCCTCATATAATTGCAGGATCGCAAGAACTTGAGCCATCCTCTGCTGCTTTCCCAGTCCATACCCAGGGAGCTAGATGGGAAGTGGAGCAGCACTTGCATGGGATCCTGGCACCTGAAGGGGGAGGTATAACCTGTTAAGCCACCATGCAGGCCCCCCCCCCCAAATTATTTTATTTACTTGAAAGGTAGAATCATACAGAGAAAAAGACAGAAATATCTTTCATCTCCCCAAATGGCACACTGACCAAATTTCTACAATAGTCCAGTTTTGACCAGGCCAAAGTCAGGAACCAGGATTTCCACTCTGGTCTCTCATGTCAGTAGCACAGGTCCAAGATTTGCTCCATCTTCTGCCTTGCCAGGAGCAATAGCAAGAAACTGGATTGGAATTTCCACACAGTAGCCAAGACTCAAGCAGATACTGAGATGGGATACCAGCATCTCAAATGGCAGTTTAATCTACTACACTTCAACACCAGTCCCAGAAATTTATTATTATTGGAAAACTGAACCTGAGTAAGAAGCTTTCCTCCAAGGTCTCACAGCCAGTTAGTGCTTGAGCAGGGCTCTGATCCTAGGAAGTGGGCTCCAGACATGTTTTTAATCATGGCATTAAATCAGATAGGCTCATTGATAAACACTGGGGTGGCTTGGAAGGAGATTCAGGTTGGGGAGGTAAGTAATGGGGAGTTATGTTTGTGTTTATTTCTATGTAATTTTAATTTCTGTCTTCCCTCATCTTCTACTCACTGGCAATTTAGGTTCATTTCTTCCAATCTCATGTTTTCATTTATCATGTGGCATTTATAATCAGTTCTTCAGTTTAAGATCCATATCTAACTTACTGAGTTGATTGTGTCATACAGACATTTCTGGATGAACACTTTCAAGGGCCGACTCCTCATCATCACCTCCATTCTTCCCTAGCCTATGGAATGAAACACAATCCAAGGTGGCAGTTGCTTAATTCAAATATCCTGGAGTCATCTTGACCTTGCTCTTTTTTCTAACCCCTTGGTCACCAAGCTTAGCAGTTTTTCCAAATTGTCTCTCAAATCTATTTCTCTTCTCCGTCAATATTACCATTGTCTCCTTTCAAGCCTGATCTATTAGAGTAATAACATATTCAGAGATTCCATATTAAATATACCTCCATATTTACTGTCCTGTAAGCCATTCTACATACATTTTTGAGTTATTGGGTTTTCTTTCTTTTTTTTTTTAATCTGCTCTTTGGCATTTATTTGTTAGGGAAACAGAATTCCCATCTAGTGATTCTCTAAATGCCCACAACATCCATGGGCAGGATGGGTCCAAAACTAGGAGGTGTGAGCTCAACTCAGGGTTGCCAAGAAGGTAGCATTTGATCCTTCCTGACTGCCTGTCATCACGTGTATTGTCAGGGGATGGAGTCTGAAGTGCGGAGATGGGTATCGGACCCAGGTGTGGGTTTGATCTAGTGTGGGACACAGGTATCTTACCTGGCATCTTAACTACTAGCTAAAACATCTGCCTTGATTTATTTTTTAGCCATTGGAAGAGTCTAGGTACCATACATTTCAAGTGATCGAGAACTGAGATAGAAGCAAGTTTTTTCAAGAGCTTGAATGGAGGTCAAGTTGAATTAGGTTTGCCATGCTTATAGGGAATTAGAGATTCTTAACCCGGAAAAGACATTAAAACATTGAGGAAATAAGGTTTGAAACAGCATAAAGAATGAAACCCTGAGCTTTAGGGACGGATACTTAGTGTAGCAGTTAGGGCCTGGTGAGAACCCTGTGTTCTCAGGGCTCTTGGGTTTGAGTAGTGGTAAGCTGCTGATAGACCAGACCATCCCTGGATCCTGCTTTTGGTCTAGTGAGGCCCAGCCATTGTAGGTATTCAGAATGTGAACCCACAGAGGGCATTATTTTGGCCTTGCTCTGCTTCTCAAAGAAAGTTAGAATATGTTTGTTTTACATGAATAAGTTGTGAAGGTTTGCACACTTAAGTGAAGCTTAGGAGAACAGTGCAAAACAATAGCAGAAGACTGAGAATAGTATTAACTTTTCCACCTCTACACAACAGTTTACAAATAATTAACGAGGGGCAGGCATTGTGGTGCAATGGAGTAAGCCACAACTTGGGACACTGGCATCCATATTGGAGTGCTTGCTGCAAGAGTGACCGCTTCATTTGTGATGCTGTTTGTACTACTGTGCCTGGCAAGCAACTTGAATTCCTGCGACCCTTGCATGGGGTTCAAATAGAGCTCTTGGCACCCAGCTTCAGCCTGACCTGGCCCTGCTGTTGTGGACATTTGGGAAGTGAATCGGAAGATGAGGCACCTTTTTGGTTGGCCCTTTCTGCC